AACATGAATCAAATATGTATCTTTATTCATTTACAATAAACTCATAAAGTACATCATTCTGATTGAAGCTAAGGGCATACAAAACTGTCTAACAGGTAGAACCAAATTTGCCTTGAAATAAACCCCTAAAATATTTTGAAGGATGTGAAGATTTCAACCCAAGCACTCATAACTACAAAAGCCATGATCTCACTTGACCATTGAGTTACTTAAGTGATTTGGTAATTTGTTTTCATTTTAATATTTGAATGTGTATATAAATAATGTAAAAGGTAATATTTACAAAATTTAAATTATAATGATAAATTTTGAACCATATATTAATATAGTATGATAATCTATATATTAAATTACTCAATTTAATCAATAAAGATGATATAAGTTTTAAACTATATATTATCATTATTGAGAATCAAGTTTTTAAAGGACAAATTTCATTTTTGTTTTCTTTGAAGTGGAGAGTAAACAAAGAATAGGTTCCACAGGTAAACCCCGGAACTGACCCAAGAATCACCAAGGCCAGAACCGACCTTCATAAGGTAGGTTCCGGTTCCAAAAGGCTTGGAACCGACCCCTAAGGATAGGTTTCAGGTTCTGCTATGGAACCGAGCCAAACCAACCCATGTTTACCCGTGCCAAATACACAAATGGATTTCATGATTGCCTTAAAAATCTATTGGTGATCCCAATTTCTAGCAACCATGAGTGTTTTGAATTGTCTAATCTAATAATTAAACTACGGGTCTCTTTGGTTCGTGGTCAGAATCGAAATTGGAACTGAAATCCCTCGAAATTGGAATTGAAATGATCTATTCCTATGATCTGTTTGGTTCAAACACAAATTGGAAGGGGAATTGGAATCAGATGAAACGGGATCTCATTTCAGGGAGAGGAGGGAATGGCCATTCCCTCAAATGGGGAATGTCATTCCACTAGAATGGGATGGAAATGGAGTTCCAATTCCGCCCAATCAAACAATTGGTCATTCCAATTCCGATTCCAAACCCCTATTCCCACGAACCACACGGGCCCTACTTTGTTACTCCCTTTCAAACTGGTCTGAGAAGCTAACTTGTCCAAGAAGATGAAAAGTATCCTCGGAAACAGTTTGGAATAAATATCAGCATTTGATGATGAGTAACATATATACCATGTGAGTGATCAAGGACCCAATAGCTACCTTATCAAAAACGAAATGGTAGCCAAGCTCTGTCTGAGCATGGAATATGGGATACATCGTTAGGGAAGTGCAAATTGCAAACATTCAATAATACTTGTTCCATAATTGAGGCCCACAATCACCAACTGATGATGGCTCTATTAGTAAGTTCCCTAGCTAGTAATAGCATAAACTTGAGATCAAATTCCATTACTACCGGGGTTGGGGATTATGTGCTTTGGGGACGGGCTATTCCCCCATCGTGTAGCCCCAAAAGAAAAAAAAAAAAAAAAAAAAAAAAAATTACAAATGGGCCCAAAATAATTGATCCTTATGCCTGCCAACCCATAGTATCATCACTGTTATTTTCTCACAAGAAAAAAAAAAAAAAAAAAAAAAAAAAAAGGCCCACAGTCATGGTTAAACTCAATTTTTATTATTTTTTACTTATATGAGTATTAACATTTTTACAAAATCACTTTGATGCTCTATTTTTTATTATTTTTTACTTATATGAGTATTAACATTTCTATGACCATTAATAAAAATGAGAATGGTCATTCTCGTTTCGTCAAACACCCTGATTTTGTTACCAATTTTATCCTTCAAATCCAAAGTTATTTCGAGTATATAGACAGTAAGAAAGAATGTGTATATAAAAATGAAAAAAAAAATAATGCATGATGGTTTGGACACTCGTTACAAACCACTGCATGTTTTGGACATTTGTGATAGACCAAATGTTAAGTGTTCTCCAATTCTTTTTTGGACGAAAATGAGAGACTTACCAACAAAACTAAGAAAATTTAACATGGGATACATGCCCCAATACCCAAAACATTTTCAATGTCGTCAATTTCTTAACGGCAAAGGTCATTATCAAGTTAACCATCAACTTTGTTTGATTTACTAATTGGAGGTTCATATTTTGTTCTTTGGTTCTTTCTATTTTCAGTAATCTTTGGCTTTCTTAGTGGATTGATCAAGACAACCTTTCTGATTCAAAAAAAATGGAGGGGTAGAGGATGCCAGAATTAAGTGATTATTTAACCAATTAGTAAAAGAGGTAAGTCTGTTCTATAAATCAATTTCCTTTGAATTATAATCTTACTAGCGGAGGAGCAAATGTGTTGCAGGGCAAAACATGATTGTAAGTGGCTTGTCATAGCTAAATTATTATATAGGAAAAAAATTGCGAAAGGTAAATTTTTTAATTAAAAGTTTATTGGAAAAAGGATCTATTTAAAATAAATATAAAAAATGGATAATAATATATTTAATTTAATAAAATAAATCAATAAATAAATAAACAATCACATCCATGAGCAATAGAGAGAAAGAGGGAAAAATGACTTTTGTCATTGTATTTTTTGTTTTATATAGTGGAATAATTGTAAATAGTTAAATAATAATAATAAATTTATAAAATAAATGATATAAATAGACAATCATGTGAGAGAGTATATATATATATATATATATAAACACACGATTCTTTGTCTTACTTTGCTAGAAATTATAATTTGTTAGATTATTAAATTATTAACCAATTAAATAATTTAGTAAAATAAGTAAGTAAATAAAAAACTTATGTATTACCAACGCAAGATTGGTAAAGGCTAGCTATCCAAAATTATTTAATTAATTAATTTAGCATTGTTAATGGGTCAAGCTGAACTACTGGGCTACCGAGCTCATGAATAGGCTTAGCCCAATTCGTGGCCTGTCCTGGCCTAAGACTTGGCCTATGGACCAGCTTGGCCCGTAGCATTGCACGGGCCCATGCGGGCTCGAGCTAAAATAAAATTTTCTGATCTTATTTATTTTTGTCTATTTTTTAAATTTATCTTAAATTTGTCATTATTTTTTTCAAAGTTTTTAAAAAACATGGCTTAGCCCAGCTCGTGGCTTGGCTTGCGGACCAGCCTGGATTGGGCTTAGGCCGTATATTGTATACAACAATTATATAATATATTAATATATAATTTTATTTTCAATTTTATTATATTATTTCATTTTATTATTGCATATATAAACAATTGTACACATCAAAATTCATATAAAATAAAATTTTACGATATTTTTTTAATTTTTTGGTCTATTTATTTTAATTTATGTTAAAATTTTCATTATTTTTTTCAAAATTTTTTAAAAAACATGGCTTAGCCTGGTTCATGGCCCGACGTGGCCAAAGACTTGGCCCATAGCATGGCATTGGCCTACGCGGGCTCAGTCATATACTATATACAATAATTATATAATATATAATTTTATTTTCAATTTTATTATATTATTTCATTTTATTATTGCATGTATAAACAATTGTATACATCAAAATTCATATAAAATAAAATTTTAAGATCTTTTTTAATTTTTAATTTATGTTAACCTTTTCATTATTTTTTTTCAAAACTTTTAAAAAGCATGGATTAGTCTGGTTCGTGGCCCGGCCTGGCCTAAGACTTGGCTCACGAACCAGCCTGGCTCACAGAACGACATAGGCCTGCGTGGGCTCAGACCGAGGGCTATGTTGGGCCGACCCCTAAAGTATCCCAAGGGAGGGAAGCATGGCCCAACATAACCCAATTGTAAATAAAATGAGAGATAAAGGCGATTTTTAACAAATATGAAAAAGGTAGAAGTTTAGTATCATCATTGTAAATAGTTAGTAGTGGCACCATGGTAAAGGAGAAAGGACATGTTATGAATGTTTTTTTGTTTTATTCAATGGCATCATTTTAATTAATTAAATTTGTAATGGTAATGGTTAAAGCATGAAAAGTGAAAGATTATAAGATTATAAAACTTCATTTAGGTTATATAAAAAAAGATTCCATTTAGCAAAAGCACAACAATCGGTTGTACAACCTTTTGCTTTTAGGTTATATATATAGATTTAAAAAAAAAAGTTACATCTTCATGAACCAGTTGACGATGGTGAAAGATCAATATTTTTTTATGAACCAGTTGACGATGGTGAAAGATCAATATTTTTTATGAACCAGTTGCAGCTAAGTGGGTTTTCTTCTGGGCAAAGGCTTCTCACCGTTATTGTGCTATATATGCTGGGTTTGGAAGTCGCTTAAAGCAAAATACGTTCAGAGGGTCTTGGATGTCAAAAGGCTAGGTCATTTGAATTCTTAAGTCCCCCCTTCTTTTAATTTCATTACTTGTCTCAGACTTTAAAATTACAAATTTTTTTGTTTAAACCACTTCTTGAGTTATGGCATTGAAACATTATAAGGGATGGTTTTTTGTTCTTTTTTTTTATAGAATAGTAATATTTTAGAGATTATTTGCATCGATTACAAGTATGTATGCTTATTTCGTCTCTCTCTCTCTCTCCATGTAGAGTCCAATAACAACCAAATCGAATTATTTTGCATGTAAAATCTACGTACTCCACTAATTAAAAAAATGGAGTAATTGTCAAATACTTGGTTTTAAAAATAATTAAAAATGAATTATAATTATTTATCATTAATTATTCATTTTACCCTGTTATAATTATTTACTATTAATTATTCTTTTTATCTTGTTATTATTATTTACTATTAATTATTCCTTTTACCATGTGCATCGGACAGGCCTTTTACTAGTGAATCTATTAAATATGGCTACTCTAAATATTCATGTATCAGTGGTCCTACAAACTGATCTTTTATATATCTTAAGATAGGCAGCCATTCAACGCAATATTTGAACCTTGCCAACAATTGAACGTATTACTAAAAGTCTAAAAGCATATGCAGCAATAACATTCTAGTACACATCCAAACACACAAAACTTTGCAAATGGAACAACTCTAGTATAATCAATTGAATATCAGAGTATGGAATTGCCAATGAAAATGGAGCTAAATAGACCCCTGTACAAATCAATCTTGTTTGTACATAGAGTGACCAAAATACAGTGAGCCTCATTTGAAAGAATAGTTTTCCTTCTGTAAATATCCTAGCATGCTCCCAAATCCAGAAAGAATACAATTCTGGAACATTCATTCTTATAGCAAAATGTAAGCTGGATCAAAACAACACTTACCAGTTGAAAGAGATTTCAAACTGTTAGGGACCCTAGATCCCAGCTACCAACTTTTAGTGCCTTATCAAGAAATGATGGGCATGGATAGACCAAATGGAGATTATATGGAATTGCATTGTTTCTCTATCTCAAATGTCAAAACTGCCAATTGATGCTTCTTTCAAGTTAGCTAGCTCAACCTTGGCTTTCTTTTGTGGCAAAACTTGAACCGATCTCCCACAAAGATTGATCAAAAGCCCCATCATCCCAATAAATTAGAGTAGAGTATTCCAAATAGCTCCTTTACCTTCACCACATCTAGAATGAACATTCTTGATCTTCTCCACTGATTTGCAAATACCACTGCAGCTCCAATCGAATGATGCAACACAAACATTGCCCGCCTGCGCCTTCCACTCACAATCTATAGAACGGAAATGAATTGGAAAATGAAAGATATCAAGAAGGGAGCCACAAAAATCCACAATAATAGAAGGTAGCTCTGAAAAATCCTACCTGGTGGAGTCCCACAACACATATTGCGTTCATCAATGTGCTCAACTTCAAGACCAATAAACCAAGCACCAAGTGATACATCTTCATTTGCATACTTGTGCAGTATGGGCCTGTAATCACACAGTCAAACAGTTAAGACTTTTAATTCATTCTAGAAGAAAGGGCCAAATACCAATTTACCATATAACAGGAAATATCTATTTTAACTAACAAAATCATACTACGTGATAACTGCATATTAGAACAAGGTGGACCTTTAGCAACCATGTTAAGGTAAACTACTAATAGTTATTGTTTATATCACATTCAAACATGAGATAACTGTGGAACCCATGGAATCCAACAATATAGAACCCAATTAGATTTAAACAGGAGAACTAAATAAGGAAAAACCAACTCTTACTGGTTGATTGATATGTATGTGGCCAGATCCTTTGAGATTGCATAGATTTGCCCTGTTGCATGCCGAAAGTATTTATTTCCCTCCTCTCCAAACTTCCAGTATTCGGGTTCATGATACTTAACATTCCTAAAAAATTAAATAAAAGGAAAAAAACAATGGAAATATTGCATAACTACATGACCTCAGAAGGCAAAATTGAATAATAAATTTAAGTTCCAGCAGAATTACTTCTGATAAAGAACGGGTCCAGATTTCATACATCCCATGTAGACTCTAGGCTTTGAACGGTGGCGGGCAAGAGTTGTAGCTAGCATGCCTGCAATTCTCAAAAGTTGTAGAACTGAAATTTTGTAACTATAAACAAAGTAAATGTCTCAAATTACATAAATATGGCTTAAAACAGAGGAAAAGTAGAAATAGTACATACCCAAATTAACATGGACATCATCATCCACTTTGACATAGAATTCTGCATCCCATTTTGCAACAGCAGTGGAGAAGAAAGTTTTTGTCTTTGCAGAGAGTTCATGGTAACCTTCAACATGTTCCTACAGGACAATAGAACAAGATTCAGAGCTTCTGACAAATTCAGTATTTGTATAGAAAGTTAATGAGTCCTTTCTTTTACCAGCCTAAGAAAGTCATTATGGATGGAATCTTCAGAATCAATGGCCCGATCTAAAATGCTGTTGGTTGTTGCACTATAGCAAAAAAATGTAGGTATTAGTCAGGTTAGGTCACATTTTAATTGACCATCTAAATTCTTGTTAACAACTTTGCCATATAAAAGGCCAAGAAATGAGAATGTGAGACCAAGACGGTGAGATATTAACTGAACTCTTAAAAGAAAATAAAGTCATGGTAACAAAGACAAAATAAAACAAGCACATGAAAAATGGAAAACAATTATCTAGAAACAGTAACAGCTAGTTATTTACCATCAAAGATTTGACCTTTTAGTAACTAGGATAGCCAAGTTCTATTTCATCCAAAATTGAAGTTTTAATATTGCATTTCCGGGATTCTTTTCCTTTCAAGTTTAAAAATAAAAGAAGGGGTTGGAAACTTCAGCCAACATTGTATCTAATTGCATCACCGAAGTTAAACCTTATGCAGGGATGAAAAAGCTGAGAAGCAAAGAAGGTTTTTAGGCTACTTTCTCCATTACAAGAAAGGGCTAAGGGGGTGTCTAAGATTGGTTGTCACATCTTTCTTAACATTTTATATATTTCTAATTCAGTAATTTTCCAAACCCTAAAGAATACCATATTGTCCCCGTTGAGACATGTTATCCAACCTTCAAAACTCAAAGCATTTACTTATCCTTTATCCAAGAAAAGAGAAAGCTCAGTTTCCACCAAAGCATATGACATTCCTCCATGACTAGCATGCCAGCTACCTGGTTCACACCATTATCATAATCACCTCATTTTGGCTTTTTGCAGGCATTCCTTACAATCAAGAAAGCTTTCTTTTGTTGCTAAAGACTAACCATGCCCACCATAGAACCATGACATTTGATTTACTGTCTTTCAGGCTGAAAACCGTTGGCATTTTGTGGTTCATACATCACATAATAGCCCCCACAAAATCTCTTTCTTGATCTAACATGAGGCAAAAGTTTATTATCTGCCTTGGGTGAAACCTTGGAAGGACTTCAACTCATTCTTGTATGATTAATGCTTTTCTGGATATTGGGTCTATTACTTTAAAGGTTTCTTTAAAAGAAAAAATAAAGGAGGGTCAAATTAGAAACTGGTTGAGCAATTTGGCAGGAATTTTTCCTCTTTTGATTCACGGTAATGTTTGGAAAAGATTATAAATTTTTCTTATCATATCATTATATACCTGATATCTTAACTCAGACCTTCATCTTGGTTTACCAGTGACCTCTCCCCCTTCTGCACGTTTTTCCTGCAAAASTCAACAGAACCCCCCCCCCCGCCCCGCCCTCATCAAGCTTATACGTCCACTCACATTCATTTACAACATTTGGCTAAGCTAACCTCCAATCCCCCAAGAGTTGAGAAAGACATCAACACCTCAAGCTCATTAGGAGCTAGAGCCAAGACAAGCCCCCAAACCAGGGAGGTGAGCTCAAATTAAGCTGACCACAACTAAGACGCTTTGATATCCAGATATGCCATCATTCTAAAATTTCCTTTAGTTTAATGCATTTTAAAGATGATATGATGTTGTCACTGTCAATAACTGTATTCATGAAAGATTTCCAAATACTTGTTTAGGTAAAAAGTGATAATGGGGCAGAAAGAACAACCCCCCATTTGAAAGAGAGAAACCAATATAAGAACATCAACTACCACATTTATGTTGTTCACCACAGACTCCAAATTCCAAAATCTTGGTCCTATCACTTTAAAAGGATCTCTAGCATCCATAACTAAAGTAGATCTTTGTTACATACAAGGTTCAAAGTATCGGAAATGTCAAGTGTATCGGAAAGGCAAATTTAAGAGACGTATCGGGATATGCCTTCGATACACATGCGTATCGGAGAAAAACTAAGATGCGCATAAATATACTTGGAAACACTATAAATACTTTAATAAATCATAAAAATACATCAACAACACTAAGTATAAGACCTCAATGAGGTGTATATATATTAAATTAATATATTTTAATGGTTTTATGAAAAAATGTATTATAGTTAATTATAATTTCATTAAAAACCCTATACTTAACAATAATTTATAAATTATAATTCTTAAGTTTTAATATTTTATGGGATGGGAAAAATCCAACTCTCCTATCCAACCATAAAACATGCATTGACAGAACTTCTATGTGAAAATATAATTAATAAGTATTTATCATTTAAATAATTATTATTTATTATTTATTTCCAAAAATTATAAAAAATAAATAAACATTATATAATATATTCAAAAAATAGTTATTAAAGAAGAAATTTCAACTGCATTGTAGATATGATAGGTCATCCATAGAATTATAATATATTCAATCATTGTGATCAAATGATAAAATATAATTAATTATTTATTTATTTTTTATTTCTAAAAATATAAAAATAAAAAATAATTATTAAAGAAGAAATTTCAATTGGTTTATGGATATGATAGATCATCCATAGAATTATAATAAATTCAATTGTTGTAATTAAATGATAAAATATAATTATTTATTATTTATTTTTTAATTCTAAAAATATAAAAAATCAAAAAAAATTAAAGAAGAAATTTCAATTGCTCTAAGGATATGATAGATAAATACATAGATCTAAAACATACTTAGTCTTTATAAGCAAAGAAATTTTGATATCATAAAATTGAAATGTAAATCAACATAAATTTAAACATTCAAGAAAAAAAAGAAACCACAAGATATTATAAAAAAATTGAAAAAAATTACCTATTTTTGCCATATTTTTTCAAAATTTAAAAAATCTTAAAAATAATAACAATTTGCACTTGTTTCTTGCAAACTTTTGCAAATCTTGCACTCAAGGAATGAAGTTTGGAGTTTTAGAGTCGTTTGGGGGTGAAAGAAGGCTTATTTCGGGGAAAAGAAGCTTGCTTTCCCCCTTTAATATTTTTTTTAGTTTTTGGCTATCTTTTACGCCGATACACCCCTGATACACCCCGATACGGTTCCGATACACATGAAAAAAGATGAAACATCTGATTTCCATGTGTATCTCGTATCTGTTTTTCAAAGATATGATACGATACGCCCCGTATTGGGTGTATCGTATCAAAATTTTAAACCTTAGTTACATACAAAAAGTATGAAGATATGAGCCATTTTGTAACTCCCTGCTCTATCTTAATGAACCAACGATACCTTGATTTAAATGTCATGAAACCATCAGAACCAAATATATAATACTCTATATTCAAATTAGCTCCATAACTACATCCAACAAGGAACTGGCCAGGTTTACAAACGTTATTTACTTTTTGAAGCTCTGATCTCATTTTCATATAACCTATCAGTCTATTCCCAATATAGATGTTGCAATGAATGAATATAACTTTATTGATTTTTCTGACAAATATGAATAGATAGAACTTTATTCATATACCTCGTTCATTGCATGGGTATGAACAACACTACAGAAATAGTGAACTATTGATTAAAACTGCCTTCTGATACTATCATGGTGAAGTGTCTTTACATGCTTGGTTGAATGACTTAGAAAAACCATGTTATCATTTTAGTTTAGCACATGATCAAACATCAGCATACATTCTTTGAAAGAAATATGTAATAGATGAGCTCCCAATGGTCAGTTGCAAATGGACTAACAATTTATGTCCAGTAAGAAAGAAATAAAAATCACCAGTGTGCTCTGGCTCTTAAAGTTGAGTTCTTGATAGAAGCCTGGTGCAATTCAAAGAAAGGATGTACCTGTGCCCAATCATGAACCTGATAACAATTCCCTTCTCTTTCTCTAGTCGTCGGAGCTTTGCACCTAGTTAATCACAACAACGAAATTACAAAAATTATAAAGATAATCATCACTGAATCCGAATGCTACTTAACAAAACCAATGTTTGATTTTCATATGAGTATATAGAAAGGATTTAAGAATAATACCTTGAGGCATCCAGGTCAGTCGGACAGAATCTCGCCTCTTTCTGCTACTGAATGCAGTGTTTATACCAATAACCATAAACACCTTCTTTCTTGGTGGGATATCATGAAAAGATGATAACTGTGAAGGAGAATGATCAGGATTCCCTAGCTCCTGAGCACTTCTGGCCGCAGCTAGCTCCATTTGAAGCGTCGAAATTGTCTTGTCCAATGACCTACCCGGCCACAAAAGATCCATTTAAGGAACCAAATGATCAACTGAATTCATAAACAAGTAAGCATCTAAATCATGTAGAATTACTAATGCAATTCGATACTAACTTAATTGCTTCCTGGGTTCTAAAAACCTCCCCCATAAGATCCTTATCTTCTCCACGCTTCTGATAAAAAGAAAACAGAAACCAGCATATTTAAGGCATGAAGCTAGTAGAGAAAACAACAAGTCCAATATCTAAATGAGATATCCAATTTTAGATAACATACAGACCCGCCTGAACATGCAGTTATCGGAGATGATTCGCAAATCTTCTTCATATCGTTCCCTTGATATCATTTGACCGTATGATTCTGGAGTAGACCACACCCTGGAGAAACACAATTTCATTGCATTCTCGATCAACAATTGATGATCCCTTAGCATTAATACCCTTTTTACAATTAATCCACCAAGAAAAAAATCCCCCAGAAACCCATCAAAGCAAAACATTTCTAATTCCAAAGAAATCCAGATTTATACGAGATCAACATAAAAATAAAATAAAGTTTTTCTATTGCGAAGTTGCAAACCCCAAAACTAACGATGACCCTTGGAGTCATAGAGAGGAGAACCTGTTTGTGAAGAACATTCCAAACGCAAAGCTGGATATGCAGAGAATGACAATCCACTTCCCTGAAAATTTCTCATTTCGGTTCTTCATATTCATTTAATAAAGAATCAAAACTAAAAAGGAAAAAATAAAATAAAATAACTTTTGTTTCAAACGTTCTTCTCTCTCTCTTTCTCTCTCTAAGGAAGAAGAATGAAAAGAGCTGATTTGAATTAGAAAGACCAGATTTTGAATAGAAAGAAGATAAGAGAGAGAGAGAGAGAGAGAGAGAGAGTCAGGAATAACGATGACGAGGAGAAGAAAAATGCGAAGAGCTGGTTTTTTCTGCGAGTTAGGCCGTCAAAGTTACGATTATTCGGGGCCTTTCGACCGCTTCAGACTTTGGAGCTCAGACCCTTTGTCCCGTTAGTCACGCTCTCTCTCTCCTACTGCCAATATAGGAGTCTCCCTAGGACCATTTAATGGCTTGACACGTGGCACACTTCTAATATAACCTGGCCACCTGGGAGACTGGAACTGATCACCTTCCCTTAATCCTAATTCAGAGAGTCAACCGATTCAGAGGGTCAACAGGTCAAGGTCAAGTCCAAACGGACCAAACCAACAGCCTAATTATGATTTGGAAGATTTAGGAAGGATTAATTGTCGTTATTAATATTTAATCACAATTAATTAATAATGGCTTTTGGACGCTAGTGTGGTAACCTGCGGTATGTTATTCTTAAAAAAAAAAAAAACAAAAACCTGCGGTATGTTAATAACAGCGCACAAATCAAAACCGTTGGATACACGGTCAGACCAAGATGCTCCCAATAGACGGTGGGATGCAATGTGAGGTCGGTATGAAGAGTGGCTCAGTTGGGAAGGAGTACAAATACAAATATGTACAGTGCTCTACAAGTTTGTATTTGTACTCCTTACAAACTGAGCCTGATGACAATTGCAATTAAGAATAGATGATTTTTTGGTAGAATTAAGAATAGATGATTAAGAACCTGTTTGGACTTATCAAAACTGAATAAAAATTGACCTTGAACAGTCACTAAGGCTGTGTTTGGCATGCTTTCGATTAATTTTATGAATTTCTACATAAAAGAATAACATCGCTAAAATTATGGGGGTGTTCTAGAAGGTGAATTGTTTTTCTTGAAAACAAATCAAATTCATCTTGTTTGAAAATAGATTGTTTCTTAACAGAAGCACAAAAAAACATGTTTTTGGTTGTGTGTTTGTGTGATGTTTTGTTTTCAAAACTGAAACCAAAAACATGTTCTTGAATCTGGTTTCAAAAACATGTTTCCATCTGATTGTTTAACATCATGTTCCATAAATCATATAATTTTTATACTAGAAAATTTGTTTTCGTTTTAAAAACCAATATTTTGTTGGTTGCAAGAACACGTATTGTTTTTTGAAATAAAACTAACTGGTTTTTCTCTTTGAAAACAAAAACAGAGTTCAAGAACATGTTTTTTTTGCTGATGTGGCAATTCCAAAAACAAATGGAAACAAAAATATTCATGTTGTAGAAGGTTCCCTGTATCATTTTGAAAAACAAAACCATACACATTATTGGCAAACACCCATTGTTTAAGAACAAAAACATTAGTTGTTCTTCTTTTTTGCAACACTAGAAACCTTCCAATGAAGAATTTAAATAAAATAGGGTATCCCTTTTGAGTATAGTTAGATAATGGGTAGGGATGACAATTTTCCCCATGTCCACCAAGTGCTTGACCTCCCTGACCCAATGGGTTGGAGACGGAGATTGCTTTGTCTTGTCAGGATGGGGATGGGAATAAATAGGGAAGCCCAACCAAGGTGTATAAAAAAAATTATACTAATATATAAATAGAAAAGTTATATATTTTTATAGTAGACTAAAATTAAATAAAAATTTTAATTTGTAAAAAATCATAATTTTATAATTAACATGGGTAAGTCTATCTTCGTTTCCAAGCCCAAACAAATATCATTATGCTTGGGGTGTGAGTTGGGTTGGGTTAGGCAACCTTAAAAACTATAAATACATTATTAAAATATAGCCCAAGATCTCTTTTTTTTATTATTCATTAGGCTACAAAATGGAGGTAGTCCATCCTCCATAGCTCCTTCGACTGCAATATTAATATTTTTTATCTAAAAATAGTTAAAAAACCAAAAATAATGCATGCATAGGTTGTGTGTGATTTGGTTCAGTCCAATTACAAATGTCACATTTCTCTTAAGGGTGCAACTTGGGTAGGTTGGGTCAAGTTGAGGATCAACCCAAAGTCCTACCTTGAGTTTGGGCATAGATTGATTTTATTATAACTATCACCTAATTTTATATATTTACTAATATTTAGCATTTTAAATATTTAAGTAAAATAAAACACTAACTAATAATATGAAACAAAAAAATTATTTGTATTAAATGATTAGTAGTAATTTATTATTTTTGTTAAAAATATTAATATAATTAACCAAAAATTATAAATTATTAAATTATTAAATTATTAAATTACTAAATTACTTTTTTAACAAATTACTAAACTAAATATTAATTAATTTAAACAACAATGCATTCATTCCTTATAATAGTCATTGGTCTTATTGTTTCACTTTCTCTTGACAAATCCTGCACATCACACGAGTCCCACTAGTAAATACATCTAACATGAGTGTCCATGACTCTTCTACTATAAAGCCCCACAGGATCAGTAGGGGTGCAATTTGGAGAGGATAAAGTTGAGGTTTTGTCAAATTTGAAAATGGCCTGGCCTGAATGTCAGCCCTATGCAATGTAAAATGCTAACTTGACAACCTGAGTTGCACCCTATGTTATGGTTTTCTATTTTTCTAATAAAGACCTTGGATATGGGACCCCAATGTCATTCAAATGGGCATGTTCTGGCATCCAATAACAACCTTTTCATATTCAAAAGTTACTAGTTAGGCCCCATGCAGGCTTTATTTATAAGAAATGTTGAAGATAGAGCTCTATGACATTTTCAATTAAGTGGTGTTCATAATTTTTTGGGGTTATATCTAGTTTATCCAATCATAGTCTAAGTTGTGCTTTAGCAAGAGTTGCCAATTTCCTATTCTCTAGATAAATTTATATTTTTCTTTTTGTATCTTAATGCTAATTTTTATTAATTTTTATTGATTTATTATTATTTTTAAGTAATATTATAATAAAAAGAAACTCTTATAACAATTCTATAAGCCACCTTTGTATTTCAACCCTAACAAAGGCCTCCCCATAGTTTTGAGAGAAAAAAGTGCAAACACCTCCTTTCCCTTGGATTTTCCATAACAAAGACATTGAATTTACCAAAATATCATTGTTAATGCATTATCATATATAATTTAAAGTTTCAACTTTACCCTCCACTACTTTATTTTGCTAGACAACTTTCAAAGAATAATTCTCCTTACTCTTCTTGAACAAAGGTAAAAAGGTTGAAGTGAAGTAAAATTAAAGCATTACATCAACATTTTTTATTTGGAACGTTGATGAAAGGAAGGTATATTTGCACCTTTTTACAAAACAATTGGGGAAACTTTTGTTAAGGTCAAAACACTAGGAAGTTTCATACAATTGTTAGAAAATCCAAGGAGGTTTCTATAGTTTTCCTTATTTTTAAATGGAATTTAATTTGATTTTAAAATAATTAAACTATATTTAAAATTAGTATTTTATATTTATTTTTTGAAATTAGTAAAAATTGAACTTATTTAAATATATTAAATTTTTATTATATTCAAATTCCTTATGAAGTTTAACTAACTATATAATTTTTTTTTATTTTTTAATGGAACTGAAGTTGGTTTTCAATTAATAAAATTTAATTATAAAACTAATAATTTTTTGATAATTTTGTATTGATTTTAAATTGTTATTTAAAAAAATTCTTTTAATTATATTAATAAAATATTTTTATCAATAAAAATAATTAATAATTATTTTCATTATGGTTAATTGATTTTTTTATTTCCAAATGGAATGTAAATGGATTATAATTTTAAATGGAAGTAAACTATTTAGCGCAATAATATATCATTGAATATCTCAATTTCAATATAATTAATCTTTACTAATAATTACTATTTAATGCAAATATATATATATATATATATATATATATATATATATATAATTGAAATGGATATATAGATAAAGTTAATGTAATGTATGCAATTTGATGGAGTAATAGAGATGAGAAAGAATTAGTGGAATGAGTTATTGAAGGAGAAAATTACTGACATAATTAATGAGAAGAAATTATTAAAAGAATTAATAGGAAAGAGAAGAGAGAGAGAGAAAGAGAGAGAGTAGTGTATTAATGAGGAGTGTTAAAAGTCTTAAAGGTGATTGGCCACTTGAGTTATTTTGTTCAATTTTAAAATTAGAAAATTCAAAGAAAAACAAAAAAAAAGATAAGTGTCTTTGAGAAGAAACCAAAAAAAAAAAAAGGATAAGTGACTTTGAGAATAAACTACAAAGCATGAAAATGCCTGCTTGGCACATTCCATTTTAATATATAGATATAGATTGGGGTCGGACCAACCAACAATGAATGAATCTCACATAGAGATAAATTGGTCCAAAGTCACTTCCGACCTTATTTATTATCCAAAAAGTAGTCGGCCTAATTAAGGTGGGCAGTGGTTATATTTTCAACCTAGATACATAGAGAATTGGTACAATCACAACCTTGTCTTCTTGGCCCTACACCTTATGTGTTCCATGGAGATCCAAGTCTTTTGGACCTTGCTAAGACAAACAAAAGCTTTTATCAAGGAAGAAACTCAAATTCTTGTCTTTGTAGACCAGCCCTAGAGAGATTCATGAAATTTACAGCATTGCACATATGCTTACCTCACCTTGACTCACCAACATTCCCCATCACCAAGGTAGTAGAATTAATCAAACAGTTCCTTTTTTGTAATCAACGCCAGCACCGGATTTTCATTTTACTACTCTAAACAATTGGGTGATGTTCATACTTGGGTTGGATTGACCTTGGGTTGTAACCATGGGTTTTAGTTGTGTAGGCTTTTATTTAAAAGAAAATGAAGAGTTGTACCTGAGTGGACCCATA